AAAACTAGTGTTTTCCATCTTATTATATATTTAAATAGGTATATTTTGCAAATTGCAACTCTAAAAGCACCATCAACAATTATTTTCTTAATGTGATTTACAATTAGCATCATGCCATCAGCTGTTTTTCTTACTAGCAAATAGTTGCTAGTAAAACTTTATCCAGTAAAAATCCAGAAAAACTTGCAAGTTCAGCTGTCACTTTTGCTCTCTCAATTTACCCTCTTTTGCTAGTTTCTTGCAAGTTTTAACGACATCCAGTAAAAACCAGTAAAATTAGTACTGGATTTACTGGATAGTGAGTACGCGAACAGGGCCTGCCGACATTTCCGGANTCAGTCAACCAGCAAAATTAGTACTGGATTTACTGGATAGTGAGTACGCGAACAGGGCCTGCCGACATTTCCGGACCTTTTTTAGGGGTTGTTACCCTACACAAGAGAATTACCTTTTTGTTTTTTGTTGTTGAATGAACCACATTTTTATACAAAATTGGCGGAAAAACATTAGAATAAAATTGTTGCATATACATATTTTGAAAAATTTGCTGTGCCAATACTTTGTTCCGGCAGGGAACATGTGTATTTTGAAGGCAACTAATGGCGCAATAACTTACCAACTTTCAACGTTATTCGTTGTTGATCGTCAAACCTTATATTTTCAAAATTTTCTATATCACCTACGGATTTAGGTCGCTGCTTTTTAAAAAAACAATCTTCATGATACCACATCGGCTGCTTTCCGTCGTGAAAAGCCGACTAAAAAGAGTAGCAGTTATTTTCTGAAACCATACGTATGTATAGATTTTGCAAACCTGTACAATTGCAGCTAAACGAAGGGAGCCTTGTGATATAGAGCATTTACACATTTTACAGGAAGAACGGCCACTCTTGGCGTATTCAGTTCTATAAGGCAGTTCGATATCCATTTCAAACGTGTGGAGAAATATTTCCCTTTTAAAATTTACACCAAACAAAATCAATAAATGAACCGCTTTATACGATGCCGCGATTTTACGATTACAAGTAAAAACATCGTATTACACATCGATATTTTCTCAATTTACCAAGTATTTTTGTACTCGATACTTTTTACTGCGATCCAAGTAGGTATCAGTGTTGCCAGATTTTCTTTAAAATTTTTACCAAACTCAAAAGTAAAAGGTACCAAATTCAAAAAAGAAATATCAAACTTATTTTTAGGGGGAACTGGGGTTGACTTCGCGAGAGTGCACCAAGCTTTGAACAAAAGTACTTTTTTGGGGGGGGTTGAGGGGGTCGTACACATCACAAAAACTGAAACCCATACGGCAAGGAAACTCATAGTTTACGACAAATTTGTTGTTAAAGTTCAAAATTTCACCTCACAAAATGTACGATAACAAATCATTTCAAACAAATACAAGTGTGCAGAAAACACACATTTCTACTAAATTAAGCTCTTTGAACGTTTATCTATTTTATATTTTATTAATTTCATTATTTTACGATGAGGAACACGTTTATAAATAATTTGTTTAATTTCCATTAGACAACCGAAGTAGTAGCTCTGATCCAGTACTCCATGAACTTAAAGGATTTTACACGAACTTGCAGGAAGATGCAGGAAAAATGTTCCCGTACTCCAAAATCCTCCAAAATCCCGTAAATAAAAGCGACTTTTGGAGAGTTGTGTAGAGAATGAAGTTGCAAGATTTTACCCGAACTTTTTCTTCTGGTAAAATCATGAAAAGTGTCAAGCAATCACTGGTTGACGTTTTTACAGGAAAAATGTTTTTTTTTTTGTACCCGTACTTTTTGTTGTTACTCACTTTTTACTTTCACTTCAGAGAGTAATTTTGCTGATTGATAGTTTTACAGGACTTTTTCACGAAAAGTATTGGATCAGAGCTAGTATGTATGAAGAATGGATGTATGGACAATGACCGAAAAGAAGATGGCCGCACGTGTGAGTAACGTGTTGCCAGAATACGTTTCGAAATGTATTCCCAGATATTCAAAGCGTACGAATATTATAAAGGCGAATATGATAATAGGGCATTCGCACACGGCGATTTTACAGGCAACTTTTAGTTGAAAGCAAAAATCGCCTCGTCCGAACGGCCTTTCAACTAATCGCTTTCAACAAAGTTGGTCGCCAGCCAACTTTGAGCTCGTTCAACTTTTTTTCCTTGCAACCCTGTGTTTGTTTACNCCCAGATATTCAAAGCGTACGAATATTATAAAGGCGAATATGATAATAGGGCATTCGCACACGGCGATTTTACAGGCAACTTTTAGTTGAAAGCAAAAATCGCCTCGTCC